TCATCAAGTCCATGCCTCAGAGACTGCAAGCCGTTATAAAAGCCAAAGGTGGTGCAACTAAATACTAGTCATGTATTTTGAATGGTCTTTTGTTTATCTGTTTTTTTTTATGATTCCATACTTTTTTCCTCAGAATTGAGTGATTCCATATTTTTTTCCCTGTGCTTGGTCAATAACAGTAACATTCACTGACTTCCACAATGTTTTCTCTTCATTTATTTGTGTTCCTGAAAGTCAACAAGTTGCACTTTGGAATGACCTTATTATTGTATCATGTTTTTGATCTGAGTTTGTTTTACAGAATGAAATGTCTGAATGAGTGCTCATCCAAGACTAGTGATCCCATACTTTTTGCCAGGGGTTGTACATTGTATATACAGGTGAAACAGGGAACCTAGTGCATCCCAAAWTTTTCAACATCATTTTTTTTATATTTTGCTGTCATTATTACCTTTTATAAAAATGTTTTTTGGGGAGGTGCCCCTGTAGTGTTGCTTTTATTTTTAATGGCATTTTTTTCCTTAAAATACTTTTACTTTTATATTTTAAGTAGTTTTTCTTAACCAGTACTTTTTCCACTTTTACTTGAATAAAAAGCTCAAGTTGATACTTCTACATCCAAAAATGTATTTTTAAAACATAAAATATAGGGTAGCGAAAATCCAACTTTAAACAACCATCAGAAAAGCTTAAAAAACTGACAATAAAGACCACTTTAAAAGATTGCAAGAAAGTCTGGCTCTTTGTAGGCAGTGTGTAAAGAAATTAGGGATGGTTTAAAACTTTTGCTCATTACTGTAGCTTCCCAACAAAGCCCATAAGTGACAGGCAGGCATATTTCTCTCAGGACAAACACGCAATACAACAACGCATTCTAAGACTTAAAATGAGAAAATATATCAAGCATGGAAAGCAAGAAATWGCATTGTTGTGGTTTTTTTGACTTGCTGCTGTCAGTTATATGGTAAATTATAGTGCACTATCAGGCCTGAAGTTCCAAACTGAGCCATCCATTCTAATTATTCCTTTTTTCTACTGCAGGGCTTTTTTGCTAAAAGCCCGAGCTCAATAAGATGATGTGCTTTTTCCAGTTTCACAGTAATGGCCCTGCTTGAATTACTGCACACTGGCTCTCTTTTGCAATTTAAAGGAGCTGATCCAAAATGCAGAGGATGCTGGAGCGACAGAAGTCAAGTTCCTGTATGATGAGACGGAGTACGGGGTGGAGTCACTGTGGTCACCTGACATGGCTCAGCATCAAGGTTAGCAATTATTCAAGGAAACAAGACAGCAGTGTGACCAGTGACACTGCTCTTTAATTAAACTTTATACCTTTACACACTCTTGTTTTTAACAAACACTGGCTGTTTAATGCCTTCAGTTTCTGCTTGTTTAATATCAGCGTTGCGATTCTCTGAGCTTGTTAATGCTGACATGCAGGTACAGCACTGTACGTGTACAATGATGCTGTGTTCACTGTGGAAGACTGGAATGGGATCCAGGAGATTGCGAGGAGCAGGAAGCGAGATGATCCTCTGAAAGTCGGACGATTTGGTATTGGCTTCAACTCTGTGTATCACATCACAGGT